AAGTCGACTAAAGCGAACGTTACGGATTCAATATTCGGTTCCTATAGACATTTGATCCCACAACAGTGCCTAATCCTCGACAAAACGTAGCGTACTCGATGATATCAATCAACGTGGTACGAAGCGTTACCGCCCCAAGGAAAGACCTATCCAGCCCTAGGCGGCAGAGGAACAGGTCGCGCACTACCGCGCGAAGCAATCTTACGTCGGGTATGCCTAGCCCGAGGGCAAGAACGATAACCTAACGGTACACCAACTCAGCAACAGGAAGATGATCATGCACCAGAGACGGTAGCAACCTCTGACCTGCGTGCGAACCAGGGGCAGGTCGACACTCGTGGATATGTAACAAGTGCCGATTTGTCTCCTAATTCGTCTTTAGAGAGTTCCAGCGTATCATCTTCTGAACTCCCTCCACTAGGGCAGCAACAACCCACAACAGTAGGCGACAGCGTATTTCGGGATAGCAACCCACGCCTACCACCAGCGAAGCGTAGACGCCAGAGACGACGTCACTACAGGCGAATTGAGGGGCGTGGACAACATTTCAACAACTCCAAGAAGTATTGTTTTAAACACGATGTACCACCATGCATACATACCCCATCATATATATACCGATATCTAATTTAATTGATATTAAGAAGTTCTACATCTCAATGCTCTCATGCATCACCCGGATATGGGATGTGGTGTCGTCCCGTACCGTCCGCCACGGGATTGAGTGTGCGCTCAGCTTCGCCCAGCTCAGACTCGACATCAGAACCATGCAAGAAGCTCTCTGCGATTATTTGCATCTCCCTGGCAACGTTCACCAGGTGATGGTGCGGTCCGTTGTATGTTATACAGTTATCAATCATGAGCGTCAGGTCCTCAAAGAACTGGGCGCGGCTTTGGTAGTGTTGCCCCCTGGCCTTGATACGCATCTACAGCGTGGATGAGAGAGTGAGAGCGGGTTAAACATTTCTACGTACGAGACAAGAAATACCAACGCCAGCAGAATTGCTCGATCAACACTAACCAGAAGGAAGTCCAAAAGCTATCCACGCACAACATATTTACTTGTTCGTAATACGAGATTATCTTTTCTCCTGACCACCTCTCTGATTGTCTCACTCCCAAAACGTCCATAAAACCAAACAAAGATGCGCCTCATCTCCAAATCCCTATAATGTTTGCGTTCTGTATAGTTATCCAGTATAAATCGCACAACATTTTAAATCCTGAAATATATACCGTCTCCAAATCCATGGGGTTCTTGATCTTTGTGAAGTAATCTGGCACGTGTCGTTTATCCACCTTGAAGTGGAAATCCTCGCTGTTCTGCACCTCCTTCATAAGTTCTGTGGCTTCTTCCAGCTTCTTGCTGATCTCTACCAATGGGGTGGTCCTGCGCCGGCTCACCTTGAACCGGGGGGCTTCTGAGTACGCACTGCATTTATGAACAAAGCCAATTAGCGGGTGGTATGGCATTGGCACCAGAGCATTGGATATATACATATACGTAGCTAGTGTAGTAAACCTACAACCAAGGCATTTCAAATTTTTGATCTGGCGAGTGATTCCTTACATTCAGAACACACAGACACACATGTGTACAGGTTAACAGAAAACATACATACAGATACATCGATACACAGTTACACACATACACAGACACAGACACACAGACACAGACACACAGACACTGATACAAAGACAATAGTCCACTCGTCCACATACTCTTCGTCGTCGGACTCGTCGCATTCGAGGTCCTGGAAATCGTCGTCGTCGGTAACATTCTTCGTATTCAGTCGAACAACCAGCTTACGTGACTTGTTGGAAGAGTCCACTGCGGCTTTCGATATGGACAGCCTATTGCCTTCGACCTGCCACAACAGGACCGAGAGAGGAGCCTTTCAATGATATGACTGACAATTTGCGGGAGTATAGGATTGGCGTATACATACAACAATATGTTCCCGACACTAGACCCTGCAAACTTTTGTCGACCATCAGATGTCCGCACAGAAACCGAAGGTGAGCCCAATATCGCAAACCCAACCACATACACACGGCATGCCTCCCTTATGATGCAACCGAATTGGAAATACACCCCTCTACCGCCCAGATACACCTATAAGTAGACCCGCATCTATACCCCTACCCTAAAATCCAGTTACCATAGAAACATCCGAAAAGCATTGGGACAAACACTCGTACACAAATCTGCCTGCAGACAAACACCAGATACCACTATCCATGCGTTTATGATATATATATATATATATATATATATATATATATATATATATATATATATATATATATATATATATATATATATATATATATATATATATATATATATATATATATATATATATATA